CCCCCCCCCCCTTTCAGTAAGTGAGGTTTTTCTCGCTATTGTTGATGGAACCTGATGTTCTGAGATCCTGTACTTCCTTGCGTTGAACAAGGAACTTAACATAGTGAGCATTAAAATACTGCTACTTCTAGTATGTTATAGAGTGGAAGAAATCTTTCCTTGGCCATTTGTTAAAACAATGAATATACTCCTCAAATCAAGTGGGTCCAGATTCTTTTTTTCTCTTCAAGTGTCTGTCCTTCCTGGGGAACTAACAGACCAGGAGGCTTTAGTCATTTATTCATGTGTTCACACAGTTAACCAGATTTGCAAAATCCATGGCTGATCTCTTTTCCGTCTTTATGCCCTAGGTCTCCCATTCACGGCCGGGGTCTTTTCTGTAAGAGAAACATCGATGCGGGTGAGATGGTGATTGAGTATGCTGGCAATGTCATCCGTTCCATCCAGACTGACAAGCGAGAGAAGTATTATGACAGCAAGGTGAGTGGCCCGCTTTCACCGGCCCACTTCTGGTGTTGCATGTGGAAAGGGGCCATCGACTACAAATACGATCCCTACAGCCCAAAAGAAATAGGATATTTTATTACTTTGAACATCTTTTTTTTTTTTTTTTTTTTACACCTTTAAAATCTATGGTGGGCCCCAGGAAAAGCTCAGAATCTGCCTTAAGGATTGGTACCCAAAGAAAATCTTTGTAGGTTTGTCTGAGTGGACCAAAATCACACGGCGACACGACGTTTTAGGCTTCTCCTTCCCGTGGAGACATTAAGAAACCTCTAGTGCGGCGGCTGGAGTATTGGAGGTTGTTACGGAAGGATCTTGAGAGATGGGAGGCACTTTCCTAGAAGGAACTTTTCTCGGCAGCGGCTGTCGGGCACAGCAGAAGAAGGTTGGGAGGTGGTCCCCAGCCCGAGCTGTGCTAAGTAACAAGGTCTCCTTTCTCCTTCACGCGTAGGGCATCGGTTGCTACATGTTCCGAATTGATGACTCCGAGGTGGTGGACGCCACCATGCATGGAAACGCTGCACGCTTCATCAACCACTCCTGTGAGCCCAACTGCTACTCTCGGGTCATCAACATCGATGGGCAGAAGCACATTGTCATCTTTGCCATGCGCAAGATCTACCGCGGGGAGGAACTCACTTACGACTATAAGTTCCCCATCGAGGATGCCAGCAACAAGCTACCCTGTAACTGTGGTGCCAAGAAATGCCGGAAGTTCCTAAACTAAGGCTGCTCCTCTCCCCCGGTGGTGGAGTACGAGGACCCGGGGCCATCCAAAGCGATGCTGAAGGCCTTTGCCAGCAGCTAGGAGTTCCAGGATTGAGTGGGCACGGTTTGAGGGGCCTCCGTGATGGCCGGGCTCCCTTACGTACGTCCCACGTTCGCATTATACATGTGATCGCGGTCCTGGAGAGAGAGATGAGGTCTCAAAGAAAAGCTCCGTGACCGGCTTTCTTCTGGGGCCCCTTCTGATTGTATGCCGTTAAAGAGTGGAAGTGGGGTCGCGAGCAGACTTGCCTGGAAGGAGCCTGTAGAGGGTTAGTTACGTTGGGAGATTGGGCCTGAGTGTCTCCTCAGAGAGAAGTTGCCATCCCCGCCTTGGCCCTTTCCCAAGCACTATACGCGAGGGGTCAGGCAGGGCCCCAAATAATAGAGTCGGTCGGATGCCTGATAGTGTGCCAGCCGGGCCCAGCCTGTAGCCATCTGTTGAACAAACAGAGAAGGTCTGGTGGTTTTCCCTCCTACCCTCCCGCTTGAGAGTTCACTTCTGGTTGGGAGACAGGATTCTTAGCACCTTTGGTGTCAAAAGGCTGTCTTGGGGTTGTGCCAATTAATCACCAAACATTGAGCCTGTGGGCTTTAAGTGGGAGCGTTCCCCCCATGAGCCTTATCTCAGCCAATGACCTTTCTTGACGATGGGAGTGGCTTCCCTCTCATTCCTTCTCCTCACTCCACTTTCTTCGTTTCCCCTGTCTCATCCCACCGCTTTCCCGATCTTTCTGGGTGGTAGAGAGGAGTGACTCCCTGCTCAAGGACACCCCCTGTTGGGCATAGTACGTGCCTACGAACCGATCCCTGAGCCTGTAAGCACTCCCAGTGGGGAAGTGGACAGGAGCCATTGGCCGTAACCAGACAGAATTCGGAGTTTCCATAAGGCTCCGCTGAGAGTTTTAAAGAAATATATGTAGCATGATTTTTTAGAAGAGGAAAAAGATTATTTACATAGGATCTGAATCATGCAACAACCAGAGTATCACAACCAGGACAAACCCCTGGGCCCCCTTCCTAGGACATGGTGACTTTATTTTCCCCTTGTTGAGACATAGGAAGACTTCATTTTTAAACGGTCGGTGTCCAGTTGAAGGCAGAACACTAATCAGATTTCAAGGCCCAAAACTTGGGGACTAGACCACCTTGTATCGAGGGACCTCTGCCACCTGCGCAAAATCCACAGATTAAGTAAATTAAATGACACTACTGCCCTGATTACTCCTTAGGATGTGGTCAAAACAGCATCAAATGTTTCTTCTCTTCCTTTCCCCAAGACGGTGTCCTGAACCTGTTAAATTAAGTCATTGGATTTTACTCTGTTCTGTTTACAGTTTACTATTTAAGGTTTTATAAATGTAAATATATTTTGTATATTTTTCTATGAGAAGCACTTCATAGGGAGAAGCACTTACGACAAGGCTATTTTTTAAACCGCGGTATTATCCTAATTTAAAAGAAGATCGGTTTTTAATAATTTTTTATTTTCATAGGATGAAGTTAGAGAAAATATTCAGCTGTACACACAAAGTCTGGTTTTTCCTGCCCAACTTCCCCCTGGAAGGTGTACTTTTGTTGTTTAATGTGTAGCTTGTTTGTGCCCTGTTGACATAAACGTGTCCTGGGTTTGCTCTTTGACAATAAATGGAAAAGGAAGGTCACCCAACTCCATTGGGCCACTCCCCTCCTTCCCGTGTTGAAGCTCCTCAAAAGGCTGTGGGAGTATCCTGACACAGCAGTGCCCCCCTTCTTTCCTGCACTCGCTCTCTCCTTTCTGGGACCAGCTCAGAGCGGCGAGAGGTGTGATCTACATTTCCCTCATCTTTCCCTACTTCAGAGATAGCAACCAAGTTGAATGGCAACCTGACATTTTCCATCACCATCTGCCTCATCGGTCACCTCGTTCCCTTTCCGTCTGCCCGCCAGGTCCTCATACCTGCAAAGAACCCATGGATCCCCCTGTGCCCTCTTTCGGGGCAGCCCGTTGAAACTGAAGCACAGTCTGACCACTCACGATAAAGCAGATTTTTCTCTGCCTCTGTCGGCCACTGGGTTTCAGAGCAGTGCGGTCCAGTAGAGGGCAGGGCGCCCTTTTCTCCCACGAGAAGCCCATTCCTATGGAAGTCTAGCAAAGCAATACGACCCAGCCCTGCGTTCTCTGCCCCAGGACTCATGGCTCTGCTGTGCCTTCCACCCTGGGCTTCCTGTTCTTCCGTGACCTTAAGAACTGTGTCTGGTGGCTTTGCTGGAACATTGTCACTGTGTTCGCTGTCATGCAGGGAGCCCAGCACTGTGGCCAGGATGGCAGAGACTTCCTTGTCATCGTGGAGAAGTGCCAGCAGGGGACTGGGGAAAAACACTCTACCCAGACCTCGCCTCCCTTCCTCCTTTGCCCGTGAACAAGATACGGTGGCCCTAGGGGTCCCACTAGTGTCTGGTTTCCTTTATTATTGCACTGTGTGAGGTTTTTTTGTAAATCCTTTTACTCCTTTTTTTTCTTTTTTCTTTTTTTTTTTTTTAAGAAAAAAAAAAACCTTAAGCTGCATTTGTTACTGAAACGATTAATGCACTGATGGGTCGTGAATTCACCTTGAGAAAGACCCAAAGGCCAGTCAGGGGTTGGGGGAGACTCAGCTAAATAGACCTAGTCACTGCCCTGCTAGGCCATGCTGTACTGTGAGCCCCCTCCTCGTTCTCTTTCTACCAATCCCAAACCCTGAGGCCAGAGGAGGGACCACGTCTTTCCTTCTCTTGCCAGCTGCAGATGGTTTGCCTTGCCTTTTCACTCCCCGTCAACCATAGAAACGAGTAATTCCTCTTCTAGCTCAGCCTCGAGTCCATTGCCAAAATTCAGCATACCTGCCAGCAACTTGGGGAATAAGCTAAGGTTTCCCTACAAGAGGGAAAGAAGGCAAAACAAAAACAAAAACAAAACACGGCCTATCTGTCTCCAAAAACACCCGAGTTTGTTTTGAAAGTGACCAAGGGAATCTCCGCACAAAAGTGCAGACCGAGGAACTGTGGTGAGTCATTCCCAGGAACCCCCCAAGGGGCATCCCGAATCCCTAAGGAGTAACACAGCTGCAAGCCTGGTCAGTTCTCAGTGAGAGAGCCAGCTCCCTTACAGCTTTGCTGCTAGAACCTGTTGTGGCTGCATTTCCTGGTGGCCAGTGACAACTGTGTGACCAGAACAGCTGCATGGCGCTGACCCTATGGCCGGAACTTGGTCCCCTGGCTCCCTCTGTTACCGTCCACCACCTCCAGCACAGCCCTCCTGGTTTTAGACCAATCACCAGAATTCAGGGGGAAGCCCTGGCAGCTAGATGTAAGATTTCAACCAGACTCCTTTGCCGGGATACGGTCCGCCACCCCGCTTGCCTCTGTCAACCCCCTCCCGGCCCCCCCACCCCACCTCACCCCACCCCTCCCCTCCCCGGCCAACGCAGTGAGCACCATGCAGCTCCCTTGATTTAAAAAATACAACAACAACAACATAAA